TATGATCAGGGTGGATGTGTCACTGTCAATGTTTGCTGTTGTCATAGTTACCAGAGAGGCGGGGAAGCAGAAGGTCACCATGAAGATGTGGTGCAGCACCATGAGGAACTCCCTGCGCAGGTAACCAATCACCATCAACCCAACGCTTTGGCCCGCCTCCTCGTGACCTTTGACCTCCAGCTTGTGCCGGTAACACAGAAACATGGCGTAGATGTCGTAGGCAAAGTAAGGCGTGGCAAATAAGATGTAGGCATCAGTCAGCCAATGTCTGAGCAGAGAGAGGGAGGAGAGAGAGGCTGAAGCAGCATCATTACTTCAGGTTCATTTAGGCCAGAAACATCCAAGACACCACCCTGTGCTCCAGTTTAACATTATCTGACCCATACATCCACCCGGGCCTCCTCCCTGCACTCACTTCATGGCTCCAACACTTTGTCACCCGACTTCCTTTACTGCAGTAAGCATGGGCATCCACTAGTGGGCGCTGTCACACTGAAATGCAAGTAGAAGAAGCTGCAGTTCAGACATGTCTGAGCCTCTTTGGGCACCTTTTCCTCCGTCTAAGCAGGTGAATAATTAAAACAATCATTTAGATCTGATTAGACTCCCAGAGTCTAAAACAAACTACACCTGTGTGTTCAGCTGTTCTCTTCTTATTTCCAGCTCTAGATTTTCTGTCTTTCTTCTAAAGCAGCTTTGCATGAATCACACTTACAAGTAATCCTTCTTTGTCTCACACTGGAGCCTCTCAGCTCATCCTGAAACCAGTTTTTCCTCCCTGTGAGAGAGCTGTCTTTTGATTGGCTGCCCCTCATACACAGCATGTGGGTGAGGCTTCTGTATTATCCCAACTTTGTGACATCACACTGATCCAACAGTTAGAAAAAAAAGAGCTTTTTTCATTACTGTGCACACTGTAACGTGCGGTGGAGATGAAGCCAGCAGGTGGAGAGCGAATCAGCAACGGCTTCTGACTTTCCAGAAGTGCTCAGAACAAAACAAAAGAACAAAACGAGGGCGCCGCCATGTGGTGATACGCTGCATTACAACAGCAACTGTTACAATACACTGAGCTCATGGTCATGTTTAATATGAGCATCAGGAGATGTGATGGAAATAAGGAGAACAACATTCATTATGTGGCTCCATCCGTCCACCCCGACCTCCTCCCTGCACGGACAACCAGCAGCACCTTTTCCAAAACCACCCTGAGACTCCTGAGACGTGTGAGTGGATGAAAAGCTCAGCTGTGCAGCAGCCTGAATGCTGAAACGTGTATTGGAGGTTTTCAGGATACTTTTACTGCGGTAAAGCACTGAAACCTTCCTTCTTTCCTATTTTTGAGATAAAAATGTATTTTCTAAACTGAACTTGCTGCTGAGCTGCAGGTGCACGAACTCCCAGAGTTCCTTGCTGTGATTTGATAAGCAAATGCAGCTCAGACTCAGATTCAAACCTTTGCTCCACTTTGACTGGGAAATGAGAAACCAGCTGACCACCACGGCGCTCCACTGTCGTCCCTCTGAGTTTCATTTCCCATCATGCTCAGCGTGCAGGATTAGTCTCAGACTGAAATAACCCTGCTGCTGCTGCACATTAGGCTCAGATTGTTAATGAGATTATCGGCTGAGCTTTGCTTCATACTGAATCCTCACACTGAGGCTGAGGCCTTTACCT